ACTTATTATTTTGAGTGACTGAGATACAAGGTTGTATTTCATAGATGTGTGTTAGTATCTGTTCACAAGACTATGCAGCTTTTCTCTAATACCTCTTAATGTTTTGGCATTGATTGTAGATACAGGAAAAAAAAAAAAAGCATTTATCCCAGGATAGGTGTTGAAAGGTGAGTAGTTAATTTGAAAATGAAGAAGTAGAGAGCGATTTGCAAAATAGGAAGTAAGAAGCTATAGGGGTTGATCCCTTGACAAAAAAACAAAAAAACAAAACAAAAAAAAACAAAAAACATTCAGTTGCAATACATACTAGAAAAAGTATTTTAGAACTTTAGAACCTGATCTTTCCTTTTGACAACTAGGGGAGTGTTGGATGAAGGTAGAGGATGCTATTCTAGGGTATTACCAGGGGTGAGCAAACCATCATCTTGCATCTCTCAGCTATGGGCGTGGGGAAAGCATATTTCTGGGGAGAGGACTGATCCAGAGCAGGCAATGGGGATCTTGTCCTACAAAAATCTGGGCTTATATACTTTGGTGGCTTTGCTTGCAGTACTGTTACAGATGCTCACGTAGGTTCTAACCTATCAGCGTCAGCATCTTCCTTAGGTTGTGGTTATTAGAAAATTTAAAGGGCTGTGCCTTTTTTTTTTTTTAAAAATTTATTTATTTGTGCATACAGAACTGGGGTACAGGCCAGAGGCTCAGGGGCGGTGAGAGGCTTCACCAGAGACAGAGTGGGGAGCAGAACAGGCAGATCGATGAAGTACACTGCTGAGGGGAGCAGTGGGCGGGTCAGGAGAGGTCTGCCACACCATGTGGTCACCTCCAGGGCAGGCGGGAATCGAACTCATGCAGAAGCGGCTTTAGCTTCTCAATGCTGCGCTTTAACCCGCTGCACCACCAGGGAGGGCCGGGCTGTGCCTTTTTAATTATAATTATTTGTTGTTTTTTTTATTTAAGGTACATAGACTACTAGCTGATCACAAACAAATGTTTGAGAAACTTCATGACCATACACATCAAAGAATGCACCATTGCAGAAATAGTTTAGAAAAGTCATAAACTGACAACTCCAACCCTCCAGCTATTCCTGAAGAGTGGGAAAATCAGATATCTGGAATTACCACATTTATTTTCAAAGGAGTAAAATGTTTCAACATTTCACTGACTGATTTAAGGAATTAGTTATGACTTGAGAGGAATATTTAATTAATTTGCCAAAAGACTAAAATCATACATCAGGGCTTAGAATTACAGATTGTAGTGTAATTTAAAACTACGCAATTCAGGAGTCATAACATTTGCTTATAACCACTTTTGACCACTTTAACTAGTGGAGGGCTTTTCCAATAAACAGCACCTCTCAGAGGTTATTCTCACAGGTTATTAAAGCAAGGTGCATTTTTATATATTAAACTAACAAAAGGAAAACTCATTGTGGTTGAGATTATGACAAGTGTTTCTCAAGCATTGCTGTCATATTCTGCAATATATTCCTGTTTGTTTTCACAGAAAAATAGTGTTTCCAAGTAGGTATCAAGTAAACCTTATGCTCCAGACATGCCTGTGTACCATGTGGAACAGGCCCCCTAGCTGAAAGACATTTATGTGGGCAACATTGCAAGTATCAAAATAACCATTTTGCAGTACAGGTTATTACATCACATATTGCAGCTTTACTCACATTTGAGGAGCTGGAAAGTTGTTTTACTCTTTGACTTATTAATGTCATACATGAGGGAGGTTTGAGAGAAATAACCCTATAGGCATAACAACTACCTCAAAATGTGTGTGAAGCTAGCATCAATGTAGATATAATAAACTGAAGCGAGGTTATAATGCAATTTAGTATGGGCTGCTTTTTTTTTTTTTTTAAGATTTATTTTTTTTAATGCAGGGAGATGTGAGGATTTACCAGAGGCAGAGTGAGGAACAGCACAGGCAAATATTTTGAAATACACTGCTGAGGAGAGTAGTGGGCGAGCCAGGAGAGGTCTACCATGCCATGTGGGTCACCTCCCTGGCCGGGAATGGAACTGGTGCTGCAGTGGCTACAGAAAGCTTCATAGTGCTGCACTTTAACCCTTGTGTCACCAGGGAGGGCCTGGGGTGTGGGCTTCTAATACAGTTTGATTGGTATCTTCACATGAAGACAGACACAAGGAGAATGTCAGGTCAAGCAGGAGGATTGGAGTGAGATAGCTATTAGCTAGGGAATGCTTAGCCAGAGATTGCTACAAAGCTCAAGGAAACCCTTCCAGTTGTTAGAGGGCCTATGGTCCTTCCAATGCCTTGAATTTGTACTTCTAGCTTCCAAAACTGTGAGACAATAAATTACTATAGTGTTAAGCTACTCAGTTTATGGGCCTTTGTTCTGACAACCCACGGAACTGAACACAATGGCCAGTTGATTTTTAGCAGGGTGCCAAGGCCAGGCAATGGGGAAAGAACAGTTTGTTCAACAGATGATGCTGAGGTAACTGGATATTCTCTTGCAAAAGAATGATGTTACTGAACACCCTTACCTTATACCATATAGAAAAATTCACTCAGAAAATGAGTTAGAAAACTCTTAGAATGACTTAAAAACTATTAGAAGAAAACATATGGGAAAATCTTCATGGCTGTGGATTTTGCAATGTTTTCTTAAATAGCATTAAAACCAAACTAACCAAAGAAAAATATAGATTAATAGATAAATTGGATTTCATCAGAATTAAAAACTTTTATGCTTCCAGACTATTACTAAGATATATTTATTTATTTATGATAACTAAATTTGCTTTACTTTTCTTTTAACTATTGAATTTTCTAAAATAGAAAAATTGCCTAAAATTTAGTCATAAATGGTAAAAAAGAAAGCCATGTTGAAATTGTTTTGATATAATGTATTGTTTTCATTTAAAGCATTGATCTGAAAAAATATAGTCACCGATATCTCAAATCTGTGGTTAGATTTCTGAAAACCAACCACAACCTAATAATATGACATGGAAGATATGTGTCTTAGTGTGTTTGGCATGCAATTTCATCCAAGACTGAGAAATAAAACAATGGGAAAATCACCTTTCAGATTTGTGATTTAGATTACTAATGAAAAAGAAGTAACATGTTTGGTGTATGCTGTGAATTCCATTTAAAAAAGTGAGTATAGAAAAATGTCCCTTAAAACAATGAAAAGAAAACTTACAAAATGAGGGAAATACTTACAAATCCAATATTTGATTAAGAATTAATATTCAGAATATATAAAGAACTACAACTTGACAAAAAATTTTAAAAATGGACTTAAATAATTTATAAGTGGTCAATAAACACATGAAAAAATTTCCATATCATCAGTCACTGGGATAGGGCAAGTCAAAACCACAGTTAGGTGCAGTTTAAGACCCACCAGTGTGGCTATAGCTAAAAAAATGGTGAGTATGTAAAAAAAAAAATTTTAAACTCTTGTGTCTCGAATATGGAATGTACAGTGGTGCTGCTAAGGTAGAAAATGGTTTGGCCATTGGTCAAAAACAAAACAGATTACCATATGACTCAGAATTCATACCATATGACCCAGTAATTCAAACCCTAAGTATATTCTCAAAGGAATTGAAAGTGGGCACTCAGGTAGATATGTGTACAGCATTGTTTATAGTGGCAGCATTTACAAAGAACAGGAAGGTGGAAACAGCCCAAGTAGTAGCTATAGTTAAGGAACATTGTGAAATATACTTGTGCTATTTATTGAATTATGCATTTAAAAATGGTATGTTTCATGTTATGTATATTTTGCCACAATTAAAAAAAAAAAAGACAGTGTCTAGGGTAGAGTTTGTGAAAGCCAGGTTATTAAATGATAAACCATGGAATCCAGTCACATAAGCAAGCCTAGGAGTTGGTGGGAAGAAAAAGGAATACTCGAGAATTAAAGGTCACAAAGTGTTTGAAAACAAGGCGTTAAGAATTGAAATAATAGCAAGGTGTGTCTACTGATATCTTAGAAAGCTTGAATGTCAGTGGTAGAATGCTTCTAAGTAAGAAAGGTAAGGATGTGATCATGAGTGTGGGCTGCTTGAGAGGCGAGGAGAGTAGCAGTCCTAGGAATTGAACTGGTTAAATTCATACAGGAAGAAAGGGTAGAAATCAAACCTTAGTCGGATGTTGAAGATTACTGTTATCAGGCGTTGGCTTCCAGGAGACACACAGGAGAATGAATTGATTTCTACTTTGTTTTGTAGTTCTCTACTTTTATTGTGGTACTGACTCAGAGTATATTGATTTTCTTCTTATTGTGTTGCCAGTGACTAAGCCAATGCTAAAGTTGAGAGGTGTAAAATTAGGCATAGAGGGCTCTCCCTGGTGGCACAACAAGTTAAAGTACCTCATTATGAAGCCCTGTGAAGCCACTGCAGCATGAGTTTGATCCCCGGCCAGCGAGCTGACCCACATGGTGTGACAGACCTCTCCTGACCCGCCCGCGGCTCCCCTCAGCAGTATACTTTGTCAATCTGCCTGTTCCGCTTCCCACTCTGTCTCTGATGAATGCGCTCACGAACCACACCTCTGGCCTGTACCCTAGTTCTGTAAACATAAATAAATAAATATTTTAAAAAATAGATAATATTTCAGCTTTTCTGCAGATAGAGGCTTTTTTTTTAAATAATTTGATTGTGTCTATCAAGATAGGTCTAATGAAAGAGGGAAAATTAGCTTCTTTATCTTGTTTTTATTTAAAACAATATACTCACATCTTAAAGACCTTTTCATTAGTTTTGTTGTAGGATTTATACACACTGTAGTGCTTCAAAAAGGCTATGATCTAAAATCCCACTGTCATTATGAAGTGCATTCATTTTATAAAGTTGAAGCCACTTGGAAGAACCCATCTAATTTAATCACACATTGAAATTAAGGTTTGACCTCTAATTGTGTTTTCTCTTATGGCAGATCTTTTATACAAGATAGTCTCTGATTTATGTTGAGTCTCAAAATACTATTTCCATTTTTCTTAGGAAAACGGGAAAACATTTTCACAATTTCATTAGTTGGCAAGACCTAAGAGCTATTGACCTTGTAAAATCTTGGAATAGTTCTCTTCTAATGAAGGTAATCTTTTTTTTGTCTTCTGTGACTTGAATATTACTGCTTTTAATTTCTGTAAATGACCTTTAACAGGAGGCTTAATTATATAATTTTCTAAGTTACCTATGCTGTTTTAGTTCACTAAGAAGACAATAAACACATGTACACTCCCCATACCATGAAATTTAATAACAGTCACTGAAAAGCAAAGGACTTGTAGTAGATGGAAATATACTCCAAGCAGTCCTGAGGAGACTTGAGGTCCATTAGACTTTCACATGTTAGTGAGAATTCATGGTTCCACTCTTGGAATGATGGAGGAAACACAGACTAAGTCCAAAAGAGATACGGGAATATCCAGATTTCATCTTTATTTTTAAAACTGAAGAATGAATATCAAGTAACTCGTTGAAACATAGCTCTTAACATGGTTCCTGGCACCTAGTGAGTAAATGACAGTAGCCATAGTAGCAGCAGCAAAATAGCAATGTCATCATTTCTAAGTGGAAGGTGACTGTGTCAAAGGTAACACAATTTTCCAGCTCCTCAAATGTGGCTAAAACTGCAGTATGTGATGTTATAACCTGTACTGCACAATGGTTATTTTAATACTTGCAATACTGCCCACGTAAATGTCTTTCAGCTAGGGTGCCTTTCCACATGGTACACAGGCATGTCTGGAGCATCAGGTTTACTTGATACCTACTTGGAGACCTTATTTTTCTGTGAGAACAAACAGGAATATATTGCAGAATATGACACCAATGCTTGAGAAACACTTTTGTCATAATCTCACCCACAATGAGTTTTCCTTTTGTTAGTTTAATATATAAAAATGCACCTTGCTTTAATGACTTTGAAGAATCAATACTGAGCGGTGCTGTTTATCAGAAAAGACACACTAAGGGAGTTGAAAGTGGCTACGAGGAAATGTGACTCCTGAATTGTGTAGTTTTATGTTAACACTACTTATAATCTATAATTTTAAGCCTGAATGATAATTTTAGTTTCAAACAGTTCAGTCCATTAAATATTACTTAAATTAGTCAAGTGAAATATTTACAACTTTTATTCCTTTGAAATAAAATTGTGACAGTGAAAACATTCACTTCTGTTATTTATGCCTCACAACTCAAATACTGTGAGAATATAACTCCAAATGCAAAGGCTTTCATTAGCATTTCATCTGCTTGCTATTGGATGTGTGCATGATGAAAGTTTTGGTTTCTCTTAGCAGAAAAGTACACACCAGCAGATATACCATTCAACACATGTAATACCAGGACCTGCTTACCAGTGAAGGAGACTGTCAGCCTGCTGTCACCCCTGTCCAGATGCTCATGGTTTATTGATTGAGGCTCTTGGAAATGTTTAGGCTCTATCTCCAGAGCTGACACCAAGGTTGTGTTTACCCAAGACTAGACCCAAGAAAAACTGTGAAGTAACTGGAGTGTGTTGGCAATCTCCCGTCAGTGACCTCCCTCCAGTCTCCCCAAGCAACCATGCTTTCTCTCTTACTTGTTCTAATTCTTGCTTAATGGTTGTTAAACACTCTTTACTTTTTGCATAAAATCCCTACACTTTACCATCTTAGCTACAGTTCTGACCAATTCCCAGACTCCTTTCTTTCTGAAGTTGCTAAGAATTTGGCTCCAGCTTTGCCAGCCTGCTTTTGTTGTTGTGATGTCCAAGTGCTCTCTCACCTTAAGGCCATGTATATGCAGAGGGCACTCTCCCCCATCATAGCTGGATTATTCTCACCCTTTTTTGTATCCATTCCCAAAGTTATATTTCACAGGAGATCCTGCCTAAATCTAATACAGAATAGCATAACATGCTTAGACTATATATTTCATCTTTAATCAATAGATAAGTGTAGATAAAGCTACGTAAAATACACGTCAAGGTTTAAGCACATAATGGATAAGAAAAGTGTCTTCTGGGTTAATACTGACTTGACTAGAAGTATTGTTTCTAATAGAAATACAACCGTTCTTTATTATTCTCATTTCAGTGCCATAGTTAAAAATAGGTAAAGATGTTAAAATGTTTATTTTGAAAGGAATTTATAAATACTTGTACCTCTGCTGAGTACTACAGAAGGTCATAGTACCATAGGTATGTGGCATCCATGAAGAGAAATGAATGAAAACAGTGAGGGAAGAACACAAGGGGATATGTTGATGAAGTGTGGGTGCTTTGGTGGTGAGGGGAACTACAGTGACCATACCTGAGGAGGGAAATCAAATGCTGCAAAAAAATTACATTAAAAATGAGTAGAATTTAAAAATAGAATATTTACTTAAAAATTTTCAAGGAGATCATTGTAAATACAGTAGATGTGATACATTTCATATTTTAGAGTGTTACTTGATTTTTCTATGCACCCAGACTCTATAAGTGGTTCAATAACTTGTTTGTTATTGGTATTATTTGCATGCATATGGAATTAAATGGAAGCATCAGCCATCATTAAATGCATTTTCCTAAATTATTTTTTATACAGTTAATACACAGTTCCAGCCGAGTACTTCACTTTTTTACCAGAAGTAAACGATTTTTAGCAGCCAGTTTGTTCACTTTCACAACCCAGCATGTTTCTTTGAGATTGGCCTGGATTATACAGCACCTCACGGAGGTAAGAAAGTTTGTGTGTGTGTTTTTGTGTATGTAGTATGGGAAAGAAAAACTCAAAATAAAGATAGTAATTTGATTATTTGAGGGAAAATTAATGTATCTACTATATATTGTTGTGGAAGACAGAGGACTTTTATTCTTCACCTTCATAAGGTTTCTTTCACACTGCTCTGCATTTTAGCTCAAAAACAACTGTTGATAAACATAAACAAGTGAACATTGCTGTGTTCCACTAAAACTTTATTTATGGGCACTACATTTCAATTTCACATAGCTTACATGTGTCATGAATGTATTAAGTGTAAATTCAATTTTAAAAAAAGATTTATTTATTTATGCATACAAGAACTGGGGTACAGCCAGAAGTGTAGGGAGTGAGAGGATTCACCAGAGACAGAGTGGGAAGCAGAACAGGCAGAAGGACTAAGAACAAGCAGGTGCTCCCTGCTGAGGGGAACAGCAGGTAGGTCAGGAGAGGTCTGCCCGCCATCTGGATCACCTCCCTGGATGGAGATTAAACTCTGGTAGCAGTAGCCTCAGTAGCTATATAGCTCCCTGGTGCCACTAGGGAGGTTTCCCATAAAATAAATTTGCACAGAACAGGCAATGGACAGAATTTGCATTGTGGGCTGTATAGCTTTTTTCTGTTATATTTATACATACTTGCATATCTAATGCTAAAGTATACATATATGTTCATATGTTCATGTATACATATATACTAATGTATATACATATTCACATTTTGTTTTGGTCCTCACAAAAAATTGCTTTGAAAAATTGAGGTATATTCCTGAAATAGTTTCTATAGTGATGTTAATTTTTACTAAAGGTAGAATTATATTGTATTTAGCACTTAATTGATCACTTAATAATCTAGCCTTTTTGAATTGATTTTGTGCTTTGTGTTTTCAAGGTGAGAAAAGCAATTGAAGAAGGAAATTGTTGCTTTGGGACTGTTGATACCTGGTTGTTACATAAGCTCACCAAAGGTAAAGAGATGACCCAGTAAACAGATACTTCTCAAGTAACTGAAATTTTACTGATAGGAATGATTCCCACCCACCCCCCAAAATGTATAAGTTGGGGCCTCCCCAGTGGCTGAAGGGATTAAGCCTCAGCACTGTAGAGCTGTGGGCAGCCATTGTAGCAAGCGTCCCTCAAGGGTTTGGTCCAAACAATTGACTTAATTTCTGTTTTGACAAGATCAAAACAAAGGAGGCCTTTGGCACGTAGGATCCAGAAAAGAAAAACAAAAAGACATAATAGCAATAGAAGTAAGACAGGATACAGAAATTTTAAGTTTTTTTTTTTAACACTATTTACAACTTTATCCTAGCACATGTTGTAATGAAACTAGATTAATTGCAAATTGTACAAGGAGGGTGATTCAAACATTGTGATGAAAACTCAGATTTAATACTGAAGAGCATTTCAATTCCAAGAGTAGAAATACTTGAAGTTCAAGACCAAATTTGCCACTGTGCAACTGGGTATAATTATAGGGATCACTCCTTCTAGAGATCATAACAGTGTGTGTAAGTGTTTTAAGATTATGTGGGGAATTGTTTTGGAGATTGCATTGGAAATAGACATTAGAATTTCTATTTCCAAAGGTTTAGATTCGTGTGAACTAGGACTAAGTGTTCATTTATGCTATCTAATAAAGATATTTCCAATGTCAATTTAGGTTCTGAATTTGCTACAGATTTTTCAAATGCTAGTACAACTGGACTTTTTGATCCATATGAAGTAAGGTTTATTCCTTTCTTTTGAATCACTTATTTCTGTGTAATTTAGTGTGGGTTCTGATAACCTGTTTCTCTGCTCAGATGTGCTGGAGTGGATTTGTTACCTCCCTGCTTTCCATACCCCTCACTGTCCTACCTCCTGTGAGAGATACAAGGTAACCATGCGCATCAGACATTGGAACTAGATGGCAGAATTTTCCTTAAATTCATTTTACCTTGGCTGGGAAAAGCAATTTTTTATGTTTGTGGTGCTTATGTGTTCATTAACTTTTTGTCTACGCAAAAAACAATTTGTTGAATTTTAGAATTAATATTTCTAGAGGTATAACTTTCCTTTTAATTAATTTTATTAAAAGCTTCAATTTTGGATCAGTGGATAAAGAGATATTTGGTGTGCCTATACCAATAGTGGCCTTGGTAAGTATGAAATTTCAGTTTTCCTTGTCTGGTATAAACTAAAACAGTACATATGAATAGTTACCAGTAGATTTAGGAGATCAAAGGTCATTGCAGAATGAAGTTAAAGTATCTTCTTTCTTTTTAAATTAACAGACCCTGGATTAAATCACAAGTTTTCACTACTATACTGGGAAAGGGCCTGCTGGGCCAGTCTTCTGTCACGAGAGCACTTTATAACCTTTTACGATTATATAGTGTTTTTCAGAAAAATGTTAAATCATTTTTTGTTTTCTAATTAATGTTTGGTTCATATTGAATATCCTACAACAACACAAAACCTACTAGGGTGACATGATGTTATATTTGATGCAGTATAACTATAAGCAGTGGTGGGGCAATTTGAAGAAAAGAAGAATGTTGTATTTACATTTTATAAAGTCCTTAGCCAGCATCTCCTGATAGAGAAGCTTAGGATACGTGAAAGTAAGCTGTCTTGTTTTTTTATTTTTGAGGGCTTTTTCTTGATTATTTTCTTTCTGTCTGGCTTTCTGAATCAGAACTTAGGGTATCCAAGTATTTACCTGATGGATAAGCTGTGTAGAAGCTCGGATTATGCCTCTGATTTTTCAGCAGTTTAAGCAGAAGCTAGAGACTTTCTGTCCCTAGTTGGGTAGTGGCTTCAGTGGGTAGAGGAAACAGGCGAGGGAAGGGGAATTCAACTCTCATGTTACAAAGTCCTCATCGTGTAGAAAGGATCAGTCTTATTGAGTTGAAGGGTGGACTCGCTAAGCTTTAGACTCACTGGAAGAATTATAGATTAGTGAGGAACTGTCCCTTCAGTGACTGCTCCTTAAAATATTGTTTTGTATATCTGCACTTAAATATATTAACAAAATGTTGTAATTTTTCTTCTAATAGAAGTATCTGCGAGTAATGATTTTGACTTACGTTGACCTCTAGTGTTAAACACACACCTGTTATTCTTACTAAAAGTCCGATTTGTGAGATCAGTTGATTTTAATGAGTTCAGCCACTAATAAGTTTAAAAAGAAAAATCTTATTTTTTTTCTGCACAATCTTAATTCTTACCTTTATTTCATAGATAATTCCTTGATACTTAAAATTAGTGAAGTAGGCTGCCACTAAAGCATCCTGAGGCACACACGGTAGTTTCCACCTACTGTTGTGCAAGTCCTAGGAAACTCCCATCCTATAGTTCCTTGTTCTAGCCAGTGTTTTGTTTTGTTTTTTAAGGAAAAAGAAAAAAGAAAAGAAAATGTTGAACCGTGAGGATACAATTAGTGAGACAGTGGGGTACAGTAAAAGGCCACTGCTAGGAGCTGGTGCGTCTTAACATTTGAACATTCTTGGTAGGTCGCTGACCAGCAATCAGCCATGTTTGGAGAGTGCTGCTTCCAGACAGGAGACGTGAAATTAACCATGGGAACTGGGACATTTTTGGATATTAATACTGGAAATAAACCTCAACAGAGTGTTGGAGGTAAATAGTTAGAATTTATCCTATGTATCAATAAAATACCAGTTTCATTATTTAACTTTTGTGACCCTTTTTCTACTTTATGTTTATATTAAGGATGTTCTCTAACATTTTTTCATTATATTCTTAGAGTTAATTCCCATTTCCCTTGTTTACTTTAAATTGAAAATATAAAAAAGAAAAAGATTATCAAAAAATTCAGAAGTTTAGGGTATTTTGGTCAGCTTTCTAAATATTTACCTCTAATACATGTTATATTTTCTTAAAGCATCTTTCTTGGGCTCCACATTTTCTTTTCTTTTATGTGTTAGAAATCCTCCATTTCATGATATTGTTTAGAGTTGGTGGTTCTCAGTTAGTGACCCCTGCATATTTAGGATTTTGATGACAATTACTAAAAATTTCCTTGCCACAATAGAATACGATGGAGGGGTGCCATGGTGGTGGGAGAACCCTGGTTATCACATCTGAGGAGAGAAATCCTGTACTGCTAGAATAACAACAAGGATGTAAAAATAATGGCACTTAATTTAAAAAGAAATGATTTAAGCATTTTTTTAAAAAGAATTTTCTTGATGAAGAAAAACCTGGGATATACAAACCAAGAAATTTAGATTGTGGAGCTACCAAGAGAGCTAGAGTCTCTTAGTCTGGGTTCTGGATTTTAAAGACTTTCTCCTACATTTCTTTCCTCCTCTAGCTCTCTTCACCTTACCTGGGAAAACAGTAACTAAAAAATGCTGATTGTTGTGTCAAGTTGTTTCTACTAAGAACCTTATTTAGAAGTCATATGTAATGCAGCCAAGTAGCTCTCTAGCAAACTCATCCCATAGTAATCTTTTACTTTTCAATTAAAATGTTGTTTCCTGAGACTTATTTGTCCGTATCTGTATTAGCCTGTAGCTTGTAAAAGCTAATATTTATTGTCCATATAATATGCCAGGTTCTGTGCTTAGTCTTAATTGTTTTTAATTTACTAACTCGGTTTATTCTCGCAGGAACTTTCTGACCATTTTACAGTTGAGGAAACTGAGGCTAAGAGATTAGAAACTTTTAAGACTTGGTCTATTAAGTTAGAAAGGGCCGATATTAAATTCAAACAGTATGACTAAAGAGCCACTTTGCTAATCTTTAATCAAATTGCTCCATTTGTAGATGCCTCTGACATGAATTATTTATTTATTATATGCCTTGAATTGTTTGTTTGTCTTTAAGGCTTTTACCCATTAATTGGGTGGAAGATTGGGCAAGAAGTTGTATGTTTAGCTGAAGGCAATGCAGGAGACACTGGTAGTGCCATAAAGTGGGCTCAGCAATTGGGTAAGTTATCTTTTGCACAAGCCATACTCAAAGAATTATCTGAGAGTACTTGCTTCAGCAGCACATATACTAAAATCGGAACAATACAAAGAAGATTAGCATGGCCTCTGCATAAGGATGGCATGCAAGTTCTTGAAGCATTCCTTATTGTTGCTGTTTGGAGGTTTCTAAAACTGTTAGAAATGGAGCTTCCATATGAACCAGGAATCCCACTCCTAGGTATCCACCCAAAGGACACAAAAACATTAATTCAGAAGGACACCTACACTCCTATATTTATTGTTGCTATCTGTTTACAGTAGGGAAGATGTGGAAGCAACCTAAATGCCGAAAACTAAGTGATTGAGTAAAAAAAAGATGTGGTACATACACAGAATGGAATATTATGCAGCAATCAAAAAGATAAACACGTGCCTTTTGCAGCATAGAAGGAGCTGGAGGGGATCATGCTTAGTGAAATAAGCCAGAAAGAAAAAAATTACCGGACAGTTGCACTCACAGCAGGGGTGTAAGGGATCAGAAAAACAAAAAGCTATTGTATTAAAATAAAAACCAAAAGTAATGAACTATAAATCAGAAACATTCTAAGGGGAGTAGAGAACGGAATAGGATCAAAACTGGGGTGGGAAAAGCACATGGGACTATGGTGATGGCACATGGGTGAATTGGTGGTGGGAAGTCCACAGGGATTACAAGTGTGATAAAAAGAAACACACACACATGCATATATGCACACATGTATACATACATTCTTCGAATTACAGTTTGTTAGAAAATGATTGGATTGTCCAAAAATGAAATATAAAATTAAATGATATACACTAGGAAAAAAAAAACATTATTTTTATGTTATTTGGGTGTGAGAAGCTAAACATTAAAGTCAGTTATCATAGAGCAAAAGAATGTTATATTGAAGTATATAAAGTATTAGATGGGTTGCAAGAGAGATGCCATAAGAAAATTTAAGAGACCCATCAGTAAGAGCAATTTGTAGTACATGTCAGAAAAATGGATAAAGATTATCAAAAAGTGGACAAAGGACAGGGTACATGTATTCCATAAATAAATGACTACTTAAAATCCAGTTATTAAAGAAATACACATTTAAAAGTGATATCAGATATTATCATAGATCAGTAAGTTCAGTGATGTTTACCATTGGGAATATGGAGAAAAAGTATTCTTGTTTACCATTGAGATGAATGTCAGATGGCTTTTTTAAGAACAATCAGGCAATACAGAATGCAGACCCTTTGTCCTCAGTTCTGTGTTTGCTAAGAGAGCAATCATACAGGACGTCCATGATGGTCTAGGGGGTTAAGTCTCAGCACCATTACTGCTCTGCCTGAGTTTGATTCCCAGCCAAGAAGTTAACCTGCATGGCACAGCAGCCTTCTCTTGTCTTACCTGCTGTTCCCCTCAATAGTGGATTTCAGTAGATCTGCCTGTTCTGCTCCCCACTCTGTCTCTGGTGAATCCTCTCACCCACCCCCATCTTCTGGCTTACACCCCAGTTCTTCTATGCAAAAAAAAAAAAAAAAAGGAAAATAATCATACAGGCATGCAAAGGTACATGGATGTTCAATACAGCTGTTGTAAATAAATTCTTATCTAGTAATAAAGCATTAAATAAGGAAATGTCAGTGGTATGTTAAGGAGGGAATGAGTACTTGCAGAACAGCCTATGTAAATATAGTTTGCTTTAAAAAACAACATTATTGAAATGCAATTCACATTTTCACGTATTTAAAACATATAATTATATGTTTCTTAGTATTTTCACAAATTTTGCAGCCCTCACTACAATAAAATTTTAAAACTCTGTTCCTATATATCCATTGCTACTGACTCCCTATTTTTCCCACCTCTGCTTGCATTTCTTCTTCCTCCCCACCAGCCTTAAAATACCATAATTTACTTCCTGTCCCCATGGATTTGCCTATTTTGGACATTTCACATCTGGTCAATATGTGTTCTTTTTTGTCTGGCTTCTTTTACTCAACATAATATTTTCAGGGTCCCACTCTCACCCCCTGTATTGTATTTAATATTGTCAGTACTTAATATTATCTTTATTGCTGAATAATATTATATGTATCTACCACTACTTACCCATTCATTAGTAGATGGGAATGCACCTTCATTGTAAGTATAAAATTATTCATTGTCAGATATATTAATTTGAATGCTTTTTAATTATTTAAGTTTCTACCTTAAATGTACTTTAATTTTCTGTGTCTAGAAATACAAATAGCTCTTTATTTATTAAAGATTTATTTTTGTTTATTTATGCATACAAGTACTGGGGTATAGGCCAGAGGAACAGGGGATGAGATGATTCATCAGAGACAGAATGTGGAGCAGAACAGGCATATGTACTGAAATACACTGCTGAGAGGAGCAGTGGATGAGACAGGAGAGGCTTGCTATGCCATGTGGGTTAGCTCCCTGGCTGGGAATATCTTAATAATGCTGAACTTTAAGCCCCGTACCATCAGGGAGGCCCAACTTCTTCTCTTAGATATATTTTTTATTCTGTTCTTTCACAGAAGATGCAAAGGAAAGGCAGAATAATTTCACGTTGATCAACTGTAAAAACCATCCTTGAATTTTTTTTAAAGATTTATTTATTTATGTATACAGAATGGGGTACAGGCTGGTTGGTGAGAGGATTCACCAGAAACAGAGTGGGGAGCAGAACAGGGCCAAGTGATGAAGTACACTGTTGAGGAGAGCAGCAGGCAGGTCAGGGGAGGTCTGCTGCACCATGTGGATCACCCCCCGGGGTGGGGATTGAACTCATGCTGAAGTGGCTTTAGCTTTTTAGTGCTGTGCTTTTAACTCGCTGTACCACCAGGAAAGGGCCCACCATTCCTGAATTTTAAGTGAGATCAGGTGCACGTTACCGCTTAGCTGGGTTGAGACTTGTTCATTTTTTCATTTATTGTGATTCTCAAATGATGAAAACTTTTCTGGGAGCTTGAACTAAATGATATAAACAAACTTCTTATAAAGTCACTCGGTTGAGGCTGGAAAACAGTACTATTAGTCTAACTGAGAGGAGAATTCAGAATTGATTTATTTAGTTATTGGAAAATATTATAGATATTATTGACATATATGTCTGAAATTCATACAAAAAGTCAATATCTGTTATACTCTTTCTACAAATTCATTTTAGGGGTTTGCTGGAACAACCAGCTATATTCAGGAGAACACAATGTATAGGAGTATGAGTAAAACTATACCATGTAACCTGAGCCTTCATATCTTTGTGTAGCTTGCTGGATTTATTCCACTCTGAATAGTGGCTGCTTTCTGCCATTTTATTGGGTTGAGAAACTCAGGCATAACAGCTGTTTTGAGCCAATTTCATCTTGATTTTGAGATTTATTTTCTTAATCTTTTCTACACGGGTAAGTTCTCTTTCCTTTCTTTAGCCTCCTTTCTCCTTTCTGCTTCCCATTATTCTTTGTTCCTCTTTGCTGTCTCAATCTTATAAATATTTTTGGATCCTTCAGCTTTTTTTTTTTTTTTAAAGATTTATTTATTTGTTCATACAGAACTGGGGTACAGGCCAGAGGCTCAGGGGCGGCGAGAGACTTCACCAGAGACAGAGTGGGGAGCAGAACAGGCAGATCGACGAAGTACACTGCTGAGGGGAGCAGTGGGTGGGTCAGGAGAGGTCTGCTGCGCCATGTGGTCACCTTCAGGGCAGGCGGGAACCCGAACTCAATGCTGAAGTGGCTTTAGCTTCTCAGTGCTGTGCTTTAACCAGCTGCGCCACCAGAGAGCGCCAGGATCCTTCGGCTTTTATTCAGTTAACCAGTAATTGAGTGTTCTGTGTGTACCTGAAACTAAGCTAGGAAAACAACAGTGAATGACAGACTTACCCTGCCCTCATGGAAGCTACAGTCTAGCATGAAAGGCATATATTAAGTGAACAATTGAAAAAGTAAAATAAAGAAGTATTAGTGTTAATTATCAAGAATGTATCAGTAGATTTGATAACTTCTAAAAAGGAAGGATCTTGTCTAGTCTGCAGAATCTAAAGACTTATTAAAAGAAGAGACATTCAGCTTAGGAGTTGTTAGGCACATGAAAGAGACAGTTTGTCAAGCAGTTTAATCAGGGAGGAGCAAAACCTTTTTACTCTCTAGAATTGAGGCAGTTCCCATGGGTCAAAGGAAATCTTTTTTCTAGCAATCTCACTTTTAATTGCCTCATGTAACATCTGCTATGCCATTTGATCCCCATAAGACTTCCAGTACATATCTAAAATTACCAGGACTCTTATATGCTAGAAATAAAGGGAAATGCTTCCTTCTCCCTGGGTATTTTCCCAAAAGAGACATAGTCTTTCTATTAGAGGAGGTGAGATACATAGTCTCTCTCAAGGACAAATTCTAGGTGGTAGTGAATAATTCCATGTTATTTTAAGTAAGTAGGATCTGAGTTCTTGGTCCTGCCTTCCTCTTGCTTCCTGCTGGGAAGACACACAGTGAAATGAGTTTGGCTCACTGTTGAAGCTTGAGTGTAGCCCAAACATCCATGAACTTTCAGATTTCGAGTAGATTATATAGATCTAGGGCTGTAGAGGGGACCATGTGGCAAATAGATTGAAAATAACACTTGACAAGGACCCTGTACGTGTTCTCTATGGATCCTGCCTGCTGAGCCAAGAGAAAATCCCATCACCACATGAAAGAGAATCATTTAAAAAAAAAGAGCCGGCTTGGTCCATTCTTGGGAGAGCCTGCTGACAGTGGATACAAGTACTATTATCTGAACTCCTCATCTTCTAGGCTGAGGTGAAGCCTAATTTTCTCAAACCTTGATAAACCAGAGAGTATTTACTCCCTTATCTCTCAGTGCCTGCCAAACCCATAAGCCTAACCTAAGAGCACGAAGTGCTTAAGAATATACACCACTTTGAAGAAATGTGATGTAGTTCAGAAAATAACAGCAGGTGGCTCCTACAAGGCAGATATAATGGAAGT